GAGGTCCTGTGCGGTTGCACACCTTACACACCCTCAAAACCTCCCTGGCTTATAGTTTGTTCTTCCTACAAATATTGCTGTAAGAACTAGCATTTTGTCCACTAGGTGGAGAAGTCTCTGGCTTTCGATTCATGTCTTGGATCTAGACATTGATGATTTCCCTGATTACATTACCTTCACGAGCTTCGTCTCCCAGTTTCTAGATTTCTCTAAGGAGTCATGCTTATTACACAAGCTCAAGCTTTCTTTCAAGAGACAAGATGCTGATTTGTCTTCAATCTCGTCGTGGATCGAAACCGCGGTTATGCGTAAAATCCAACATTTTGATGTTGACTGTCGTATGAGTTTTATATGTGAGATGATGCCTCTTAGCCTTTACTTTTGTGAGACTTTGGTTTCACTGAAACTCTATTTCGTGGCCTTGCAGAGTTTCGACTTTCTGTCTTTACCTAATCTTAGGATGATGCGGTTCTTGAGAAGCTTATCTCGTCTTGTGCAGTTCTTGAAGATTTTAACAGTTGTTAGAAATGTAGATGAAACTGTAAAGGTTTTACGGGTGCATTCTCAAACACTGAACATCCTCAGACTCGTTCTTGATAGTTCCAAGTCTTGGTATAATGATGATAGTGACGATTGGGAGGTTGTGATTGATGCTCCTCGGCTCACCTATCTGAGTCTTAAAGAGATGATCAGTCTGTAAGTTTTGTGATAAGCAACTTGAGTTCATCTTAATGTGGACGATGTTTGGGATCTAAATGACTCGTTGGAGAGAATCAGCGCTGTCGGTAAATTACTCACCGGCCTCTCGAGCGTAAAGGACATGACTATAAGTGGAACAAGTTTGAAGGTGTGTATATGTTAATGAAGTAATTGAACATTTGAATGTTTATTTAAGATGGAAAGTCTTTTCTTTATGTCTGCAGATCATCTGTCAATACTTGAAACACGAAACGATGCCTCAGTTTCGCAGCAGCATTACCCGTTTTCAAACAAAATTCTATATTTCTGATTTGGAAATGTTGCCAGAATTTCTTGAGAGCTGTCCAAATCTCCAATCTCTTGTCTTGGTAATGTTTTCTGCAGAAGGTGAAAGGTATAACGGATAAAGAGGTCAGAACTAGAATTGGAT